AAAAAAAAAAAAAAAAAAAAAAAGTCATTCTGGCTGCTATAAATAAGTGATAGAGAATGATAAACTGTAGAGAGTTAAGGGTGATCTTTTAGGGGACTATTGCAGTAATCCAGGAGAAAGTGGTTCCAGAGCATTGGTGGTGGTGACAAGTGGTTGGATTTTGGAAATACACTTGCTCCTTGACTTACAATAGGGTTATGGCCTGATAAACCCATCGTACGTTGAAAGTATAAGTGGAAAATGCATATAATACACCTACCAAACTGTTAAATGTGCACTCTGAATGAAAAGACCCCCTCTGAACAGGCTTTGTGTAAGAAATATTGCTGTTTATTCACTGAGGTGCAGGCGGGCTGAGTCTGAAAAGAGAGCACAGGGCAGTGGGATGAGTTGGTTTTATAGGTTTGAGGTAGGCAGTAGAAAATTATAAAAGTTACAGTTCAGGGCAGTTGTCACAAGCTGTGAGGGGGTTGTAGGGTCTGGAGTCAGGAGGCTGACCAAGGTCGGTTATAAAATCCCATTGCCTTATCAGTTGAGGCGGGTATAAGGAACAATAGAAGAATGTCTCGGAGTTAATTAGGCAGCACAGGGGTTGATCATTTCTTCTCCTTTTGTGGTTTTCCAGTTACTTCAGACTTTCTCGTTCCAGGAACTCATCTGGAGTGCATGTGCAGTTCACAGAGGTTACCATGCTGTCCATGGCACAGTCAGTCGGCCTAAAAGACCTTACACAAACACCATAGCTTAGCCTAGTCAACCTTAAACATGCTCAGACAACTTAGCCGACAGTGGGTAAAATCATCTAACACAAAGCCTATTTTATAATAAAGTATTGAGTATTTCATGTCACTTATTGATGTCCTACTAAATGTACATGACTTTCACACCATCACAAACTCAAAAACTGTAAATCCTAGTCAGGGACTATCTGTAATTTAAAGGTAGATAGAACCCACAGGATTTCCTGATGGAGTATGAGAGAAAAAGAGTTAAGGTCAGTCCAAGAATGGAAACAATGGAGTTTCTATCCGCTGAGAAGAGAAAGGCTGCAGATAGGCAATTTTGGGGGAGGGGGCATAAATGAGTTTAGTTTGGGACATGTTAACTTTGAGGTGTCCTTTAGACACAGAGGAAAATGACAAGCAGTTGAATACTTGAGTTTGGGAGATGTCTAGGATGGAACTAGAAATTCGGGAGTCATTGGCGTATAAATGGTATTGTAACCACGAGACTGGATGAGATCAACGGTGAATATATACTGAGAAGAGTAAGGGTCCAAAAACGGAGTCCTGGGGTGGGGGGGCGGAGCATTCTAAGAAGCGGGGAGAAAAGGAGAAATCGGCAAAGGACACTGAAGAAGACCGGTGTCCTGGAGGCCAAGTAAAGAGTATTTAGGAGGAAGGAGGCCTGGTCAGGATGTTTAAGGCCAGTCTTTCCATATTGCCTGCCAAACGGACCGCCTTTCATCCAGTTTTTATGGTCTTCTGTCCATTACTGAGACCCTTCCCAGAGGGTACTGTCGGGGCCCTGCCATAGTTGCTTTTTTTTTTTATGGCTTACAATAGCTTGTGATTTCGAATTCTCCTTTTTTAGCTTAAATATTGCTGTGTAATGATTAAGGGTTAGGCTCTTCCTGGAGCTGGCAGTTTTCCAAGGAATCCCATCCTTTACACTTTTAGGTAGATTTGAAGTAAAAAGTGAGAGCATCATTCTCCCATCAGTATCCTGTCATCACAGAACGTCAGAATTAAATTACCTCAGGCAGCAGCTAGAGCTAAAGCAAAGCCCACACTTTAAAGAGGAAAAGCGTCTTTTCTGGCGTCAGTCCACCAACACTCATTCCATTATCAGTCAGTAATTCTGGGCTCCTCCCCCACCGGGCCCAAAAAGAAAAAACAGGCAAGCCGCGGTGCCATTTGTCCGCGTCCACTCCCTACTCCCCATCCCCCGTCTCGGGCCAGACCAAAGCCGTGCCGGCGCGCCGCAGGCAGCCCTGGCGGGGCCTTTCCTACCTCCTAACGCCGGGCCCCTCCCTCACGTTGCCTCTGTGCCTGCGAACATGGCGGCGCCCATTGTCACGGCCCCGGGCAGAGCTCTGCTGCGGGCGGGCGTGGAGCGGCTGCTGCGGGGAGGCCTCCGGGAGTTACTGCGGCCGCGACATGAAGGGAACACCCCTGGCCTGGAGCGCAACTTCAGCCTCTCTCAAAATCGGGTAAATGAGGGGCGACTTCAGCTTCTCTCAAAATGAGGGCTGTCTGCAGTAGGGGGTAGATGCGATCGAGTATTGTTTTGGGGGGTGCATCGGGACCCGGAGGTCCCGACGTGGGGGTGGCGGGCTTTCCTTGGGCTGGCGGCAGTGGTGGAGGGAGAGGGTGTTCCTTGTGGGGACTAGTACACCGACGCTTTCCTGGCCACCAGGACACGGTCGTCGTGGAGCGCTGGTGGAAGGTACCGCTGGCCGGGGAGGGCCGGAAGCCGCGCCTGCACCGGCGACACCGCGTCTATAAGCTGGTGGAGGACACGAAGCATCGGCCCAAAGAAAACCTGGAGCTCATCCTCACGCAGTCTGTGGAGAGTAAGGCCCGGGCCGAGGCGCTTCCTCTCAGGCTGGTCGGGTTTGGCATCAGCTTTTTCCTGCCCATTCCCCTCAACTATTTGCCTTGGTTTTTCTTTGTGGAAATAATCAGCTCTATATGTGAGAAGAGGAAGCCATAAAAACTGTGATTGTGACATTGGCCTCCAGCATTGAAAATTAAAACATAAAGGCAGCAACCTCATTAAGTGTGTGGGGAGAGGGGCCTGACAATTTGTGCCACAGTTACTGAAATCCTCTCATGGGGCAACTCCTCCCTCTCTACAGGGGATCTTAAATTTATACATCAAGTCGTAAATAAACCGGTTAATAGTGTCTTAAATCTTGTTCCTAGTGAATATGAATTAGCATTTCTTTTAGGAAAAATAAGCACTGTGAGAAAGTAAGAGGTGCTTTTCTCTTTGATCATCTTTTCTTTAGGGACTCCTAGATAGTTCTAATCCCCTGTCTCTGTTCTGACAGATATTGGAGTCCGGGGTGACCTGGTCTCAGTGAAGAAATCTTTTGGCCGGAATCGACTCCTTTCTCAGGGACTGGCTGTATATGCATCTCCTGAAAACAAGAAGCTGTTTGAAGAGGAGAAATTGGTGAGCTTAAAGGAAGGACAGAGAGACTTGGAGAAATAAAACTTGTTTTCGCTCGCAGCTTCCTTCCCTTTGATATTTACCTTGAAAATGAAATAGGAATTAGAAGAACAGGAATCCAGAAGCCCAGCCAATGCCCAGCATAGGAATAGTTTGATAGTATTTAACATGAGCTCATTTTTCTTTTACTGCTTTTCATCTTTAACTTTCTTTTCTAGCTGAGACAAGAAGGAAAATTAGAGAAGATCCAGACCAAGGCAGGTGAGGCGGTGAGTAGAAATGTAAAAAGTATTTATTGGTCACTTTCAAGACTTACCAACCTCACCCTGGGAGTCTCCCTGATTCCCTTGAGGCCTCCTGATTGCAGACACGAGAAAGGGGAAGTGTTATGGCTGCCCTGTAAAACCGGGTATGGAAACCTCTTGGGAGATCCCTGATGCATTGGGTGAAGTGCCCTAGAGTACTGAGAGAGGTCCCAATCTGGGCATCAGGGAACCCACAGCATAGTCTGAGATAAGGGTTCTATCTTCAAAGATATTTACATACAAGTTGGAGAGAACACAGACACATGAAAAGATAGTAAGTACAGGCGCCCACCACCACGCCCGCCTAAATTTTGTACTTTTGGTAGAGAGGGGGTTTTGCCATTTGGCCAAACCTAAATGCCATTTTGCCATTTGGTTGAAGCGATCCACTCACCTTGGCCTCCCAAAGTGCTGGGATTGCAGGCATGAGCCAGCGTGCTCTGCTCGCATACCTTGTGACTCTTGCTGACATATTTCCTCTTCTTTGACTCCAACTCATAATTCCTTTCAGACAGTGAAATTTCTAAAAAGCTGTCACCTGGAGGTAGGGATGAAGAACAATGTCAAATGGGAGCTGAACCCTGAAATTGTTGCCCGCCACTTCTTCAAGAATGTGAGTGTCCCCAAAAACCACTCTATCCCTGAGGTAGAAGCTACCTCTGGGAAGGAGGCCCAGGATTGATCCCTTTGTTAGGAAATGGTGTGATCATCCAGCTGTGGTTAGGGGAAGTATTCTTGGTTAATTTGCAGGAGTATGGGAGGGAAAATGGTTAAGGACTAAGGGTTTCACATAGAATTTGAAGACTGGTAGGAGAAGGTGGTGGTTTCCATTTATTTCCTGCCTACCTAGGGAAATGCTGGGGATTTCTAACTCACTGGAGGATTGTTACTTTTGTGGATGAAGTGGTTTTGGCTTCAAGGCCTGTTTCTCTTTGTAAATCCATCTCCCTAAGAGATCAGAACTGAATTTCTCTACTACCGTCTATGAAGGTCTATGCCCTCCTCTCCCATGGAATCAGCCAGAGTAGACACCCCAGTTTTATTCACCCCAGTACAGGAAATTCTGTAACCCTCTTGATGAGTTTACCTAGAGTGGCAGCCAGGAAGAGAGAGTCCATTTGAACTGAGTTGTTGTTGTTTGCAGCTTGGTGTTGTGGTCGCCCCACATACGTTAAAGTTACCAGAAGAGCCTATCACACGGTGGGGCGAGTACTGGTGTGAGGTGACGGTGAGCGTTTTATATGCTTTCTTTTTTTTCTTTTGTTTCCCCCTTCCGCCCCCCCCCCCCCCCCCCGCCTTTTTCCTTTTTCTTTCCCAAGACAGGGTTTTGCTTCATTGCCCAGGCTGGATTCAAACTCCTGGGTTCAAGTGATCCTCCCACCTCTGCCTCCCAAGTAGCTGGGACACAGGCGTTAGCCACCGCACCTAGCTCTCCTTTTTCTGAAGGGGAGAAAAGTCAGGGTCAAAAGCTGGGATTAGGTGGTGTGAAATCTTATCTACCTGATTGCTCTCTAAGAATCACAATTGTTTTGTGTACAGGTAAATGGGCTTGATACTGTGAGAGTGCCTATGTCTGTGGTGAACTTTGAGAGGCCCAAGACCAAAAGATATAAGTACTGGTTAGCCCAGCAAGCTGCCAAGGGCATGACCTCCACCGGCCCCCAGAAGATCTAAACCTACGGCAAAGGCGGCAAAGCAGAATCAGGAGCGGTGGAGCAGAAATGGGCAAGCACCCTGATCTCCCAGCTCTGACCAAATACAGAATTTTAGAGAATACCTGAAGACAGCAGACTGCACTGCGTATACATGTTGAATTCTTCATTTTGCCATCTTTAACTGTCATCACTAGGGCAGTCTTGTTCCAGAAGTACCAGGCTGTAGATTTGATAGGCTGCATACAATAAACCAAAACCGTCCAGATCCCGTTTAGCTTCTTCCTCCATTGGAGTTTACTGGGACAAACAGAAGAGCCAGCCATCGTCTCCAGTGCTTGCCTCATTCTCATGATCCAAACTGAACATTTCTATCCCAAGCAGAAATAAAGAGATGATGTTCTTTTTAGGTGTTGTTTACTGGTCTTGAGTAGACAGGACAGGACATCCGAGTGAGATGTTTCCTTGAGCCACAGAGGTTCGCTGCTAAAAAGGAGAGAAGAGACTATCTTAGACTGCATCCCACAGTTACCATGGTATGAACAAATTGTGCTGAACAAGTTGATGATGTGTTTGGTCTTAACACTTACTCTTTTTAGATATATTAATGTAGTCATCAGTATGAATAAGCACAGTGGATGCTACTTCTCTAAGATCTGCATAAGGCGTAAGGGTAATTGTTGGAAAGCTGGGATGAAAAATGCTTAAAAAGGGAACTTTCTTCCTTAAATCAGCTCCTAAAATTCTGAAAAATAAGATTTTTTTTTTTTTTTTGAGACGGAGTTTCGCTCTTGTTGCCCAGGCTGGAGTGCAATGGCGCGATCTCGGCTCACCGCAACCTCCGCCTCCTGGGTTCAGGCAATTCTCCTGCCTCAGCCTCCTGAGTAGCTGGGATTACAGGCATGCCCCACCATGCCCAGCTGATTTTTTGTATTTTTAGTAGAGACGGGGTTTCACCATGTTGACCAGGATGGTCTCGATCTCTTGACCTCGTGATCCACCCGCCTCGGCCTCCCAAAGTGCTGGGATTACAGGCTTGAGCCACCACGCCCGGCCCGAAAAATAAGATATCTTAATTTCCTAGATCAAGATTAAGATGTGAAGCTAGTCATAAGGTAACTCTGGAATGGATGTCTTGATGGGAGATAAGGAAAGTAGACAATTTTCTGTAAGTTCAGAGTTTCATTAGTAGAAAAAAGAACATCCGTTTGCAGGTGGATGATGCCAGGGTCACTCAAATACAATGTGAGGTCATGCACTTTCGGGCGGTAACAGTGGGATCACTGACTCCTTTACTATCTGTACCAGACGTTGGTTTCTATCCTATTTAAGCTCACCTACCACTCTGAGTCAGTTAATCACTTTCGTCCCATCTCTGCTAATGAGACGTCTGTCATCAGTAGTTGTACTGACAACCGTAGCCAACTTCATCCTTGACGGAGCTCTGTAACTCAAGTCTGGCACTGGCACTATCTGACATTTAGCATTTCTTCCCCTCCCCCCCTTTTTTTTTGGTAAGGGAATAACATTATTTTTTTTTTTTTTTTTTTTTTTCTCTTTTGCTCTATCCACCGAGGACACAGCAACATTATTTCACATTAGGGAGGAGGCAGGCATCCAGGCTCAGAACAGGAATTGCTTCTTGGTGGCTTTGGGGACCTTGAGCATGTTGAAGTGTACCATCTTGCTCATGCTGGTGCTTACACAACCATGATTGTGCTGATCTGGACGTCCCTGAAGCAAGGGTGCATGAACATGTTCCTGGGGTGCTTCTTGAAGAAACTGTACTTACAGACAGAATGGAAATAGTCTTGGTGGATGACATTGATCTTTCGAATCTTTATCTTGGTCACCATGCCAGACAGGATCCACCCTCAGATGGACACATCACCAATGAAGGGGCAATCAGTGTAAATATAGGTACCCTCAATGGCCTATTTGGGCATCTTGAAGCCCAAACTGATCTCTTTTTTTTCGAGACAGAATTTTACTCTTGTTGCCCAGGCTGGAGTGCAGTGGCACGATCTAGGCTCACTACAGCCTCTGTCTCCCAGCCTCCACCAGGAGTTCTCCACCATAGAACTCCTAACTTACCTTTTTCCCTGGTGTGAGTCCATCCTGGGCTGCTGTTCTTTTGAGCAGTGGTCGTTTATCTCCGTCCGCCTTCTCTTCCACCTAAGTGCGTGTCGCCACCCGATGGAAGATTCGATGGACATGGACATGAGCTCCCTGAGGCCCCAGAATTATCTTTTCGGTTGTGAACTAAAGGCCGACAAAGATTATCACTTTAAGATGGATAATGATGAAAATGAGCACCAGTTATCTTTAAGAACGGTCAGTTTAGGAGCTGGTGCAAAGGATGAATTGCACATTGTTGAAGCAGAGGCAATGAATTACGAAGGCAGTCCAATTAAAGTAACACTGGCAGCTTTGAAAATGTCTGTACAGCCAATGGTTTCCCTTGGGGCTTTGAAATAACACCACCAGTGGTCTTACGATTGAAGTGTGGTTCAGGGCCAGTGTATGCTAGTGGACAGCACTTAGTAGCTGTGGAGGAAGATGCAGAGTCAGAAGATGAGGAGGAGGATATGAAACTCTTAAGCTGATGAAGATGATGATGATTTTGATGAGGAAACTGAAGAAAAAGTGCCAGTGAAGAATATATGCGATACTCCAGCCAAAAATGCACATAAGTCAAATCAGAATGGAAAAGACTCAAAACCATCATCAACACCAAGATCAAAAGGACAAGAATCCTTCAAAAAACAGGAAAAAACTCCTAAAACACCAAAAGGACCTAGTTCTATAGAAGACATTAAAGCAAAAATGCAAGCAAGTATAGAAAAAGATGGTTCTCTTCCCAAAGTGGAAGCCAAGTTCATCAGTTATGTGAAGAATTGCTTCTGGATGACTGACCAGGAGGCTATTCAAGATCTCTGGCAGTGGAGGAAGTCTCTTTAAGAAAATAGTTTAAACAATTTGTTAAAAATTTTCCATCTTGGCCGGGCGCGGTGGCTCACGCCTATAATCCCAGCACTTTGGGAGGCCGAGGCGGGTGGATCACGAGGTCAAGAGATCGAGACCATCCTGGTCAACATGGTGAAACCTCGTCTCTACTAAAAATACAAACCATTAGCTGGACATGGTGGCGCATGCCTGTAACCCCAGCTACTCAGGAGGCTGAGGCAGGAGAATTGCCTGAACCCAGGAGGCGGAGGTTGCGGTGAGCCGAGATCGCGCCATTGCACTCCAGCCTGGGTAACAAGAGAAACTCCCTGTCAAAAAAAAAAAAAAAAAAAAATTTTCCATCTTATTTCATTTCTGTGACAGTTGATATCTGGCTGTCCTTTTTTTTAATGCAGAGTGAGAATTTTCCCTACTGTGGTTGATAAATGTTGTCAAGATACCATTGCCAAGAATGTGTTGTCCAAAATGCCTGTAGTTTTTAAAGATGGAACTCCACCCTTTGCTTGGTTTTAAGTATGTATGGAATGTTATGACAGGGCATAGAAGTGGTGGTCAGACATGGAAATGGTGGGGAGACAAAAGTATACATGTGAAATAAAACTCAGTATTTTAATAAAGTAAAAAAGAAAGAAAGAAAAAAAAGAACTCCTAACTTAGGTGATCCACCCACCTTGGACTCCCAAAGTGCTAGGACTACAGGCGAGAGCCACCGCGCCTGGCCCCAGACTGATCTTATACATAAGTCCTATAGGAACTTCTCATTGCCAGTGTCTCCCAGCAGGATCCTCTTGTGAAAGATGGTCGGCTGCTTTTGGTAGGCACAGTCAGTCCTGGATTTAAGAGAATGACTTCTTTAAAGGTTTGAGCCTCCATTAACTTGCAGAGACCCCAGCATTTAGGAAGCACTAATCTAAACTGGGGCAGATACATACACTTTTGCATCCCACTTATCCCTAGTGAGTTGGGGACACCCAGAATTAACCCCCAAACTGAAGCACAGAGTTCTGCCGTCCTGGACATGCCCTTGAGGTCTGGGGAGGACCTGAAGCCTTGGCATGAGCCCCAAGCCCACTGAAATTTGCCATTTCAATGATTCCCATTCCTACTGTCCTTGAAATGATAGCCTCATTAAACACCATCTCTCAACATGACCAACATGAAGCTCTCTGAAATTGAGCAACAAGCACACATTTCACACAGCTACCTTAAAAAAACATTTAAATACCTGCCATAGGTTGAGTTCTTGGCAAAAACACCAAGTTGGAGATTCACGTGCAGAAAGTTTATTGCAAGGAATTATCTGCGTCAACACCTGTTGGGGAGTAAAGGCAATAAAAGGGTAGAGGAAGACAAACGCCTCAGTCAATCAGGAGCTCAAAGTAGGATGGCAGCAGGATGCCCCAGTAGGGCAAGTGGGCTGGACCTATATCTCCCCACCTGACCAGAAAAGGAGTATGAGTTTGGGTGAGTGGCTGACTTCAGCCAAAGGCAGTCCCCGGAATGGGGCGTGGGTGACACCTGTGCTGTCAGCATTCTCAGCAGCTTCAATCCTGAAGGGGAAAATATGGGCCACATACCACAGTCAACATGACAGTCCCCCCCCTTGCACTGCTCAGATTGACTTGCTTCATTAGTTCTGGGATGGTTTCTTCAGGATTCTGATGGATCTCTTTCTGGGGAAACTTAAAAGAGGAAGGTTTGGGACAGACCACAGCCTCTGCCGCTGTGGCTTGAGTTTGCAACTGACACTCACCTCCCTCCTCTACCTCCCCATTGTTGATCTTTCCCCAACCCCCTCAGACTTGTACTTCTGGTTCATGTGGGTTACCAGATGACATACCTGGCCAACATGCCCTTCTCAGGCCATGACTGCACTTGTTCATTTACCATCAAAATTGGGTAAGGAGAGGCCGGGTGTGGTGGCTCACGCCTGTAATCCTACCCCTTTGGGAGGCCAAGGTGGGTGGATCACCTGAGGTCAGGAGTTCAAGACCAGCCTGGCCATCATGGTGAAACCACATCTTATAAAATATATATATCTGTGTGTGTGTGTGTGTGTGTGCGCATGTGTGTGTGTGTGTGTGTGTGTGTGTATAAAGGAGAGAAAAAAAGAAAAATAAATAAAATTGGGTAAGGAGAGGCTCCTCCAGGCACAGCCTGTGGGTGGCCCTACTCTGCAAGGAGCGGTCAAAAAAAAAAACTGGGTAAGGAAAACCATACTGAAATGGATGATCTGGGTGTCAAGTATATTCCTCCCTGTTCCCACTGAGTAGTAGTAGCTCTGCCTCCTGATAGCGACTCCTTTCCTTGCCTTCTTGTCTCTTGGTAGTGATTTGAAGTAATCTAGTGCCTGCCGTAGCTTAAAAGCTTAGTGAGACTCAGTGTGTCCACTGGTGCAAAACATTCCCATTCCGGGGACCAGGACTTCTAAACCCTTAGAGTCCAGAGTTGAGATAGAAGGCACAGATTCCCCTGTCGCGTCACTGGGAGCGATGACAATGGCAGGCTGCTCCTACAGCTGCCCCTTGTTCCCCTGAGCCACTATTTTCCTTAAGGATACACTACTTGATAGCTGTTGATCTCAGATATGTACTGCATCATGGAGGATGATGCCTCCTCCTTACAGGGTATCATCTCCAATCTGGTGCCACTGGACTTCTAAAAACTTCACTGATCCTTTAACAAGCACTCTATCAGGGAGCAGCTGCTGCATATTATGGTATGTGATTAAAGCAGATTCCATCATTGTGTACCCAGTGTTGTACCTCCTTGCTATCAAGTGGGTCTCTTGGTTTGATGCAACATTATACAAGATTTCAGGCAAATGGATCGAAATTTTGTAAACCTTTGGATGGTGTTGCTGACTGAGGCTGTGCAGGCAGGAAAGGCAAACCAGTTCCAATAATATACATCAATGCCCCCTCAAGATAGAACACTTCCCCTTCCAAGGTAGCAGGGACACGGTGGAATCAACTTACCACCAAGTGGCTGGATGGTTTCCTTGAGGAATGGTGATATCAGGCTACGTGTTGGTTATCTGTTGCTGGCAAGCTGGACATTCACTAATGCAGTAGTTAGATCAGACTTGATGAGTCCATGATGTTGAACCCGATGAATTACCTCCACCGTGGCCCCTCCATCCATATGATCACTTTGCCAGCATTGGGGTGCCAACAAAGCCTGGTTAACATTATTTGGCTAAGTCATTCCATCTGCTTGGTTGGTGCCTTTCCTGTGGTGGATGTTATCTGAGGTACAAAAATCATCATGCTCTATACCCATTCTCAGGTACATTATGTGCCTTTTTTCCAGACTTCCTTGTGTTTGATCTTCCAGGCTCCTAACCAACTCGCTAATTCATTAACCATTGCCCATGAGTCTTATATATACTTCCTTCTGGCAGGTGCACAGATCATCTCTAAGTGGGGCCATAGCGCAGCCACAGTGTACTTCCAGCTTACTTTCACCAACTGAGACAGCCCGTACGTTCACCACACTCAACCTTTTTCCTCTTCTGTCATCAGGTCATGAGGGATCTCTGATCCATGTGGCTACAGATGTAAATTGAGAAGGAAGCACCAGTGCAACAGTGGTGGGTGACAGGGATCTGGGCACCTGCTTATGTAGCTCACTTTTGCCTTGCAGCCCTGCTTGTGCCCAATTCTATATATGCCACTTTGATTTTATGAAGGATGACTGGTAGACCCACCCAGCCTTATGACTTGTGGGTTTGACAGAAGCCAGGTTATCATACATCACTTAATGTCCCAGAGCCAAGCACACTGTCTCAACTCGGACTCAGGAGCATTCCAGGAGCTATCTTTTGAAAGGTGTGTGATGCTCTGTTTCAGATGGCATGGCATTGCTCCAGCACTATAGGGGGCTGTGTGTGACTTCCTATTGGGATTTGTCACGAACAGTATATGATCTTTTCTCACCATTGACATCTCAAATATAATACGCTGTCTTGTGGGCCAAGCAGCAGGGCCGTTGGTACCACAGTCCTGACCTGCTGCAGAGCTTTTTCCTACTCTGGGATCCACTCAAAGTTGGCAGCCTTTTGTGTCACCTGATATTTCGGTCCGAGCAATATTCCCAAGTACGGAATATGTTAGCAATAGACCTCAAGACCTTTGCAAGGCATCGTGCTTTTTAGTGGTGAGAAACGTGAGATGCAAAATTTCTCCTTATCGTCTTGGGAGGGAACGTCCTGGTACACTCCACACCACTGGACTTCTAAAAACTTCGCTGCTCTGGCAAGATCCTGAATATTTGTGGGGTTCTGGCACTACCATTTGAAGATCTATCCTGCTGAGGCCTCTGATACGGGATCCTTTCAGGTTCATCCTGTACAATTACTATGATCTCATCAGTGCAGTCATGGGATGTCCTATGGAATGTTCAAATGGTCCAGGTCCCTTCAGACTGTATTATGACAGAGGCAGGAGAGTTGACATGGTCCAGATGTAAAACTGTAAATGTATATTGTTGCACATCTCAGTAGTGAAAGCAAACTTTTATGATCTTCCTTTATACAGGGATGAAAAAGGATGCGTTGTCCAAATCAATACATAACCATGTAGCCTGCGTTAATCTTTTTTAGCAAAGATACCACATTTGGAACAGCAGATAGAATTACCACCGTGTGTTGATTGGGAGTACAGTAATCCATATTCGTTCTCCAGGATCTGTCTGATTCTAGCAGGGGCCAGACTGGTGAATTAAATGGCAATATGATGGGCACCACCCCTGCATCCTTTAGGTCTTCAAGAGGGGCACTAATGGAGTAATTTTTATTTATTATATTGGTCTGGAATGGTGGAGGCAGTTGCAGGCACTTCATGTTGGCCTTCCTCACTATGATAGTTCCTACCTCACACACCAAAAAACCAACGTGGTGGTTCTGCCAACTGTCAAATATGTCTATTCCAACTTTCCATTAAGGACTCGTGACATAACCAGCAGGTGAGTCTGTAAACCTAGTAGACCTACTGAGAGCGAGACCCGGGCAGGAATACATTTATTACCTACCCTCCACACCCTGCCACTCTAACACAAGTGTTGACTGCAGTCCATAATGGAGCTTAAGATCCTAGGGTGTCAATGTCAATGGACTCTATCCAACAGTGCTTGAAATGTTTGGATAGTCCACTTTCTCTCATGTGTGATATGAAAATAAAAGGTCATAGGTCCCTGTGGGTTAGGATTGGGAAAACCACCTTATATACTTGTCATGGTGTCTCAGGGTCCTTTCTGCTAGAGACGTAGCCTCTTTAATAAATCGTTTCCAGGTCAGGTATGGTGGCTCACGCCTGGGAGGCCGAAGCGGGTGGATCACCTGAGGTCAGGAGTTCAAGACCAGCCTGACCAATATGCTGAAACCCGTCTTTACTAAAATTACAAAAATTAGCCAGGCGTGGTGGCATGCAACTGTAGTCCCAGTTACTTGGGAGACTGAAGTAGGAGAATCGCTTGAACCTCGGAAGCAGAGGTTGCAGTGAGCTGAGATTGTGCCATTGCACTCCAGCCTGGGCAACAGAGACTCTGTCTCAAAAATCAAACAAAATAAAAATAAATAAATAGTTTCCAGCTGAAAAATTGGCCCAAGAAGACTTTCACTTCTTCCAAGAAGGAATTACAGCCACAGACATTGCCCTCCCACTATAAACAACTATGAAACCAGTTAAAATTATGAAAGAAATATTTCTAGACATTGGAAAGCAGGCAGTACAGAATTTTAACTTTGAAAAGGGAAACGAGATGAGCCACATGACTGCCTCGGCTTACTGCCTAGAGGCAGTCTCCTGTACTGTGCTGTAAGGAGCAGTGCAGGGAGGGGAGCCCCAATAGAGAGCCATCAGTCTCACTGAGTGGAGAAAACAGGGATTACAGTTGGTAGAGGGTGAGTTGGCTAGAAATTAAGAGGGAAAATGCTGGAGACAAGGGAATGACACAGAGAGAGCTTTGGAGATCTGCAGAGAGGTCCCAGACCTCAAAACTTTGGCTGAATACTGATATGTACCTCACTGAGGTAAAATTCCACAAGGCAGGGGGTTAAAAACAACAGAAAATGACAGGCCAAACAATTCTCAGAGCTTCTACAACATTTGGAATCTTTTGTTTGTGTTCCTGACAGCCCATATGAATCGATCCTGTAATACATGGGGTATCACAGATGAGACGTTAAACGGACGCAGTAGTGGTTGCTAGAATAAAGGCTACTCTGGATCCACCATGCAAAGCCTGAAAGCAAGCACTGATGATCAAACTGATACCAAGCATGCCAAAACCAAGTCCAACGCTCATCAGGGAAATGCAACAAAACCTAGCACTGAACAAAATTAAGTTCCCAGTGTTTGACATTGAATTTCATATTGTCATACTGAATGTGGTGGCAGGTACCTGTAGTCCCAGCTACTCTGGAGGCTGAGGCAGGAGGATCGGTTGAGGCCAGGAGTTTGAGGCTACAGTACACTATGATCACACCCAAGAAGAGCCACTGCACTTTAGCCAGGGCGACACAGTAAGACTCCGACTCTTAAAAAAGAAAGTATTATAAAAAGAGATAGGAAAACATTACCCAGAACCAAAAGAAACAGTCTCAGAAATGTCAGCAATAGCGAAATTAGTAGGCAGAACATTAAGAGGGATATGACTATGCTTCATTTTCTTTTTATTTATTTATTTACTTTTGAGACAGAGTTTTACCCTTGTTGCCCAGGCTGGAGTGCAGTGGCGTGATCTTGGCTCACTGTAACCTCTGCCTCCCGGATTCAAGTGATTCTCCTGCCTCAGTCTCCCCAATAGGCAGGATTACAGGCACCCACCACCACAACCAGCTAATTTTTTGATATTTTTAGTACAGACGGGGTTTCACCACACTGGCCAGGCTGGTCTCTAACTCCTGACCTCAGATGATCCTCCTGCTTCAGCCTCCCAAACTGCTGGAATTATAGGTATGAGCCACCAGGCCTGGCCTTCATGTTCTTAACAATAAAATACAGAAAATGAAAGTAGACCCTTATCTCATGCCATATATAAACATCAACTCAAAATAGGATAAAGATTTATATGTAAGACCTGAAACTGTAAAACTACCAGAAAAAAACATTGGGGGAAAGCTTCATGACACTGGTCTGGAAAGTGATTTAGATGTGAGTCCAGAAGCACAGGCAACAAAATCTAAAGTAGACAAACAGAATGGCATTAAAATAAAAAGCTGTACGGCAAAGCAAAAAATCAACAGAGTGAAGAGACAGCCTACCCAGTGGGAGAAAATATGTACAAACCATACATCTGACAAGGGGTTAATATCCAAAATACATAAAGAGCTCTAACAACTCAGTAGCAAGGAAAGCAAACAACCCGATTTTTAAAATGGACAAAGGGCCATGTGCAGTGACTCACGCCTGTAATCCCAGCACTTTGGGAGGCCAAGGCAGGCAGATCACTTGAGGTCAGGAGTATGAGACCAGCCTGGCCAACGTGGTGAAACTCCATCTCTACTAAAAATACAAAAATTAGCCGGGCATGGTGGTGTGCGCCTGTTCTCCCAGCTACTGGGGAGGCTGAGGCAGGAGAATCACTTGAACCCAGGAGGCCAAGTCAGGAGAAAAGGTTCAAAAAAGGAGTCTGTACTATTAATTTCACTAGGACGTCAGAAGAGACATAGGATTTTAGTTCTGAACTTATGAATATGTGAAACTAGGGGTGATGGAAATAAATATTTAGCCATTTTCCTAGTTGTCTTTTTGTAAAGGTTAACAGTTTCATACTGAATTAAATTTAAAATGAACATATTTAACCTGTTTGTTAAATAATGTAAAGAAGGCCGGGCGCGGTGGCTCAAGCCTGTAATCCCAGCACTTTGGGAGGCCGAGGCAGGTGGATCACGAGGTCAAGAGATCGAGACCATCCTGGTCAACATGGTGAAACCCCGTCTCTACTAAAAATACAAAAAATTAGCTGGGCATGGTGGTGTGTGTCTGTAATCCCAGCTACTCAGGAGGCTGAGGCAGGAGAATTGCCTGAACCCAGGAGGCGGAGGTTGCGGTGAGCCGAGACTGCGCCATTGCACTCCAGCCTCGGTAACAAGAGCGAAACTCCGTCTCAGAAAAAAAAACAAAATAAAAAATAATAATAATAATGAGGAGAGAAATGGAAGATATTTTTAAAAGACCAAAATGGAACTTCTTGAGATGAAAAATACAATATCTGAAATGAAAAATACACTGGATGGAGCTTCTGCTTCTGGGAGGATGGGGTAGATGTACTTTCACCCCTCCTAGAACAACCATAAACCCTGAAAATTATTTATTAAACATAAGGAGACTTTGAAAGGCAGAGAAAAGAAAACAGACTGGATAGAAACCTCAAGACCCAAGAAACAGCAAAGTGGTGAGTTTTCTGAGTTTTCTTTTTGCTTCATTTATTCCACACTTTGAGCTGAAGAAACCAGCAACCAGGAAATTTGGTGCCAACGGGCACAGACCAAAAAAGAAAAGTGACCTGAGACTGTGCCTCTGCACTCCAGCCTGGGTGACAGAGGAAGACTCTGTCTAAATAAATAAATAAATAAATAAGTGGTGGCTCACACCTGTAATCCCAGCACTTTGGGAGGCCGAGGCAGGCAGATCACTTGAGGTTAGGAGTTCGAGACCAGCCTGGCCAACGTGGTGAAGCCTCATCTGTACTAAAAAATACAAAAATTATCCAGACGTGGTGGTGGGTGCCTGCAATCCCAGCTACTCAGAAGGATGAAGCACAAAAGTTGCTTGAACCAGGGAGGCAGAGGTTGCAGTGAGCCAAGATCATGCCACTATACTCCAGCCTGGGTGATGGAGTGAGACTCTCAATAAAAGACAAACA